CTCAAACATATGCGAGGTGGGACATGTGAGGGTTGGGCTGTATTGCCATTTCTGGCCCAAAATTTTGAAAATGGGCCAAACCTCAAAAGCCCAAATAAACCTGAAAATCCGAATTAAGAGCAAATTCTAATTAAGGAACAATACATAACTCATACTTTTGAAGATCACATTTCATAAATAACAAACTCATTAAAATATTTCAAAAAACAGGTGGTAAATAAATTTATTAAAAATTAAAATATAATATAATATACATTAATTATTTCTACCCATGCCACCTCACCTACGACATCCTATCACCCCACTGCACCACCTTCTCTCCACCTTTCCACCGGAGATTGCCATCAACTTTGGCGGCAGCTCCGGCGACTGTTCCGGTGGTCGCTCTGACGACTTAAAGATTTCTAGAAAATTAAAAATTGGAAATCACATCCCCCATGCCATGGATCCACCTACCACCACCCCACCCTCTCCTCCACATCCTAAAAAATTTATCAAAAAAATTTCAAGTCACTTTATATAATCAAGCTACTGACACGTGTTATCCTTGATTAATTGTGACCAAATTTGTATTCAATGTGACTAACTGTGATCAAATTACGATTTCAAGATTTTCAGAAAATAAAAAATTGGAAATTACACCCCCAACCCATGGATCCACCTACCACCACCCCACCCCCGCCTCCACATCCTAAAAAATTTATCGAAAAAAATTTCAAGTCACTTTATATAATCAAGCTACTGACACGTGTTATCCGTGATTAATTGTGACCAAGTTTGTATTCAATGTGACTAATTGTAATCAAATTTGTGTTCAGTGTGACGTCTGCGACTAATTGAATCTTAATTGTGACCGTATATGATCAAGTCACAATTGGTCACAATTAACACAAAATTGGTCACAAACGAGTCATAATCGATCACAATTAACACAGAACTGGTCACAACCAGTCACAATCGATCACATTTAACACAGAACTGATCACAACCAGTCACAATTAACAAAAATGTTGGAAAATGCACTATATTACATTCACAAATTACCACGGGCGTGTTCGGTAGAGATTAAAATTGGATTAAAATTGAAAAACTAGCCGCTATTGTTGACTTTTATTAGACGAGTGTAACCCAATAACGACTATATTTTCAATTTTAATCTTTATACAGATTCACACTAGCATCATTACCGTGACACCACTACGACACCACTGCACCACTACAGATTCACACCAATCGCCGGAGCAACTACAACAACCATGACAAGAGACACCAGACTGCCACATCAACACCACCATTCTCATGGATCTACCACCGTCGCACAACAACATACCACCACGATACCATCACATATTTCTTCTCACCGTGACACCACCGCCACAAAAAAAACCCCCATGACACCACCGCATCAATTGCTGCAGCAGCCACAAAAATCACGACAAGAGAGAAGCACAGGAGAGAGAGAGAGAGAGAGAGAGAGAGAGATTATCGTAAAGCAGAGGCGGACCTTGGGGTTTTTCGAAGACGACACTGCTTCAGATGTCGTCGCTGCAGATATATCATTTCAATCATCGCTTCAATCGTTGTGACGACGAGAAGAGAGAGGATAGCTGCAGCAGTGAGGCGGCGGCGACAATTTCGATTTGGGAGACGATGCTGAGAGAGAATGGAGAGGAGCAGCAAGAGAGAGAAGAGAGGTAAAGAAAGAACGAGTTTGGGGGAAATGAGGTGGGTGGAGAGAGGTAGGGTTGATTTCTAAATTAATTGAAACAGCTGATTTTGTAAAGATTAAACTTCCTACCTGATTTAAACACGATAAGGTTCATGTCTCACATTTTTGTTAAGGGAGGTAGGTAGGTAGGGTTGATTTCTAAATTAATTGAATTTAATAATATATTTATTTAATGATAATATATTAATTAAAACATCTGATTTTTAAAAGATTAAACTTCCTACCTGCTTTTTGAATATGAATCTTGAAAAGTAGGATTTTCTATAATTTTTCCTTCTAATTAACATAACTCAATGAAAGCGGGAAGCGAGTTAATTGTTTTGATGGTTACTAAATTTATGTCTATGTCTTCGATTGTTTACTGAAATTTAAAATATCGAATTTTGGCCACCGAACTTTGAAAAACGTTGTGTTACTTACTGATATAACTTCCGTCTCAAACCTCTAACGAAATTAGTGGCATGGCTGACAGAATGCACATGTGGTGCCCTGTCACACCGTTAAACTTTGAGATGGTCTAATTTTGGCTACTAAATTTTGAAAAATGTCTTTTACAACTTACTGAATTTTGAGGTGATCGAATTTTGGCCACCGAACTTTGACCACTAAACTTTGAAAAACGTCTTCTATTGCTTACTATAAATTTGGATTTAATTAAGCCTCTATTTAGCTCCCTTTAAAACAAAGTGTTTTTTTAATTCTCATATTCATTTTAACCATATATTTATACAATAAAATATTTTACACGTAAACTCAGAAAATTTCCTAACTTTTTAATCACGCATTCTTTAAAAAATCACCATTTAAAACTTCTTTTTAAAAAAATAAAATAACAGGGGCTAAAGTTCGTTGTTAAAATTTGGATTTAATTTAATTTTAAAAATAAATATACTGTATGTTTCATTGCAATTAGCAGTCACTTCCTTTGCACAATGTTAAATATAAATTTAATTTATTTTTGTAGAATTTTAAGCTATTTTCATCATAATATTTAAATTTTACAACGAAACACACAATAAATTAGTTGTTAAATAAAATTAAATCCAAATTTCTTGTTAGTCATAAAAGACATTTTTCAAAGTTTTTTGGCAAAAAGTCGACCATCGCTAAGTTTATTGGCCAAAATTCAACCATCTCAAAGTTCAGTATGCAAATTCAACCATCCCAAACTTCAGCGAATATTAGAAGACATTTTTTAAAATTTCCTGCTCCACCGGGCGACTCCAAATGGAGATTAGGTAAACCTGCAAGTGTAAATTTTTTTTTTTTCCGATGTAAATCAGGCTACTCCAAGTTGGGTCTTACACATGTTCTGTTGAATGATTTGCCTTCACCATTTATCTCCCCAAGGGGAACGCTTTGGCCTGTCCGATTCTGAATAGTACATCTCCCAGTAGGGTATGAGGGTTGGGATCTGGAAACGTAAATTGTTTTTATTTTAGGGCTGCAAAGATCAAGTAATGGAGGGTATTAAATTGGAGCAAAACAGACAAATTTGTCTGCCCTGATGTTCTTGAAACATGATCCTAGAACAGTTTTTTCTACTCTTCTAGGATTTTAAGTGGGAAAAGTAGTTATTGGTTAGATTAGTTAGGGTACCATCTCCGATGGTCTACACCAAAATTTGGTGTAATCTCTCCAACGCTAACGTCAAATTTTACACCAAATTGATGTAAATCATTGGAGATGGTTTTACATTAAATTTTAAACCGAAATTTATTTTGAATTATTTTATTTTTACAAAAATCGTTAAATTGGAAATTATATTTAATGAACTAAAATATTGCATTTATCAATAAATTAACATAATACCATAATTATAAAAAGTACATTGAATGCACAAGGAAAATTACATATAACAACTCACTTTAATTTATTGTTGAAATAATTATTACTTATTAATTTATTAGAATTTTAAAAAAAATGTCAAATAAAAATAATTATCATATTAAAATAATTATGAATTAATTACAATATATTAATAATACTAAAATATTAAATAAGGATATAGATAGAACAAACAATTTTTATAAAGTGTGAATAAGGGTAAAATGAGACTACATGAAAAACTCTATATTTGACGTAAATGAATAGTATTATACCGAATTTGGTGTAACAATACCATTGGAGAGGCCATTCGGGCTTTTAACATACTTAAATTAAATTGGTAAGAGATTAATGTTCAATAGTAAAAAAATTGTTCTTTTTTGCTGAAATTTGAATATTCTGTTCGCAAAAGTGCAAAGCATAAACTCCAAGTTTCCAAATTTTTGGCATTTTGCTCTTCACCGGTTCATCCAATTTGGTTCATTTCAGGTAATTCAATTTTCGCAAGAATGAACAATTGAGGTGAATTTAATCGAGTATTAAACAATTGAGATTTATTGAGTACTGTTTCATCAACCTTCTCAGTTTTCATCTCTTGGAATTTCTAATGTCCGACCTCGTGAAATTGAAAGGTAAAAGAAAGAAAATACGTCAACATCCCGTTAATTTACGGAATGAGATTAGACGAGCTTACATGAAAGCAGAGTCTTACAACCAATGCTTTCGGAGTATCCGAAGACAAAGTCCGGAAAACATAATCGTCGCTTTCATTCTGCCTGGTTCAAAAAGTACACTTGGTTGGAGTATTCGTCTTCAACAAACCGGGCTTCTTGTTTTCCTAGCTTTTTTTATTTTTGAATGATTGCAATCCGTCCACTCATTCGGCATTGGTCAGTGATGCAATACTTTATACCAAACATAGACGATTTTTGGCAGAACCAAATGGTCATTTTAAAAGCAGCTGATGGATCAAGACAACTAATAAAACAAGCAAAAAGGCAATAACAAGGTAAGTTCGACCAACTGCAATAGAAATTAACTCGAAATACATCAATATGTTGTGCATGAGAACTACAGTCTCATGTATGCCAAAACTAATCCACGGAGAAAGCTTATCGAATTAATGAGTCCGCAAATAAAACCGACTTGTACATTCACAAAAATTACATGTACGACACTTAATTTTTATTATTTGCTCCAACATAACACTGAAAACACTTTCCACATAGTATAACTGATGTGTGTGATGACATTTTTATCCGTATAGGAAAATAAATGAACAAGACATCCGAAGGTAGAAAAAACAAGGACTCTATAACGTTCGAGTGGTTTCGACTTGCATTTAAAGACAAGTGTTACCATCTAACCTGGCTGATGCTATGACACGACCGAATTCATTATTTGGCCACCATAGAGGATCAAACATACTTTAGATTGCATCTCTTCAATCATATTGCATCTGGACCCGACACGAAAACACTACAGACAGCCCACCCAATTCTGAACAAAAGCTCGACCAGCCAGATCTAGAGTACTTCCAATAAGGAAAGAAACGTCCTGCAAGTTTTCCGGACCATGTCAATTTCACTGTTGATACACAAATATGAAAGTAAAGGTTCCAGAAAATATGCCATCAGATCAACCAACACTAGCATGAAACCCATATCAGTTCAAGTTAATGAACCTTGAGGAGTTTTCACCTCAAGTATATGTAACACCCAAAAATTATATGATAGTCAATAGGAGAAGAAACAACAAAATAATACACAGCAAAGAATTGCAACAATGGTAGTCAACAATCCGGTACAAATACAAACAACATGATTGGAAGAGCTTAAAAGCGATTCAAAATTAATTTTAAATAAACTTTCCGTGTCTTCTTTTGTACAAGTAAAAGAAGTTACGAGAGAGGAAAGAGAAAGTCACTTATTTTGTGAATAGTATGGGGTTTCTTTCAAAATAAGTAACTTATTTATTTTCCACATTGACCAACAAAAATATTTATTTGTTCTAGAACTTTTCCATTCAGTAGATGTTTTGAACTTATCCAAATATGCAGACAGTCGTGCAATGCTACACAGTTGCAGAGACCATGAAAAGAGTGATTACTATACCTTCAACCGAATTTGAAACCCCCAGGTGGAACTGGAAGTTCACCTCCGAAGTTGAATCCAGATTGTGTAGTATCACCAGAGGGCAGCTGCTCATCCTCTTCTTCCAACCAATATGTTTCAAGTATCTTCACCGCCTTTTCGTATATTTCATTGTTGTCATGACTCTGAAGATTCTCAATCTTCTCTAGACCCTCCGCATCATCAATCATTTGCGCAAAGACATTCACATCTTCAGTGTTCCCTTGGTTCTTCTCAGCTTCTCCAACCTTCAGTATGTTCTCAAGACCTTCCAAGCAAACTGTGACAATCCTTGGATCCGGACAAACTAGAAGGTCGCACAATGGCTTAATGCATCCCTCGTGCACCAAGAACCTGCCACCAAGTTGAAGAATGAACATTCAACCCAAATGTACAGTAACCCACATGAATAAGATAATGGTTGCAAAGAATTATACTTGATTTGCTCATGAGTTCCCCCAGAAGTGGCATTCGAAATAGCCCAAGCAGCCTCTTTCTTTATCTCAAATTCCGCATTTTGAAGCAGTTGGACAAGAGGTGAAATAATACCAGCCTCAATCACAGCCTGTATTTTAAGATGACAGATGCTCAGCATTTATCTCTTAGAAACTTACAAACAAAATCAGAACTACAATTGACCGTGATCCATCAAAATAAAAATACAATTATTAGGACAAAATTATAAATGGTATACATCTTTAAACAAGACAAGAAGAGAAAAAATTTCAGTCTTGACGTTCAAACAATAATTTGACAATTTATTTAATGGTAAAACATCTTTAAACAAGACAGAAAGAGGAAATTTTTTCAGTCTTGACATTCAAACAATAATTTGACAATCAAAACTAATAACAGTTCTACTTCGACATCCGCACCCCCTCCCCCCAGAAAACAATTCCATAGTAATTTGCATACCTGGATCTGATCCTTATTCCCAGCGGTGACATTTGAAATGGTCCAACAAGCTTCCTTTTTTATGCTTTTCTTATAGTTTTGAGTCAGCAAGGTAAGCAGACAAGGAAGAGCCCGATTCTCAATAATAACCTGAAAATCATTAAAGAAAAAGTGATTTTGTGACAAAGATAATGCTGCTTACATCCTTCGATGATAGTATTCTTATTAGAGTTTTATTTAGAAGGCAGCCAACTTGACTTTCTGAAAGACGCTCATAAGAGTATAGGGTTGATCTCTCCAGCTGATACAGAGTTGAAAAAGGGTTCATCAAAGAATTGACTAGTCTCTTTATATTTCCACTATCCAAAATTTCAAATCATTGGGATCACTAAACATGTAAAAAAACTTCCTGGTCAAGGGATCCCTACATTACAACTGGCATACCAAGAAATGCCCCCATACACCTTGAGAACCACAAACTAATATTCCATTGAATGATTTAAATGGAGTTAAGATGCATAGTTCAATAACAGTAAAGGACTACATAAAGATGAAGACTATCAAATTTGAAGAACTATAGAATTGATTTCAGAAACTAATTAATATCTTCCAAAGATCACGAATACTCAAAAATAATTATGCAAAAAATCATCATAAAAGAAGCCTAGTAAGTGATATATTATAATGAACAGTGAAGTTACATTTTCAATTCAGAGCAGTTTTCACATTTCAATTGACAATACGATCATACAAGGAGAAGTGCTTGAATCAAGAATTTCAGTATGCATAACTAAGCACAACTATTTTGAAAAGGAAACTGGATACGAGTCATTTGACTTAAAATAAAAACCAAAAGAGATTCCCAAGTCACTACAAGGATGGTCAAACATTTAAATTGGTGTCGGAACACAGCGGAAGCCATTTAATAATATGATGACAAGAAACTTCTGTTGTAGTATATAAATTTGGGGTTGAAACAAAGAGAAACAATGATAAAGTAGGTAACTTCTGTTAAACATCAATAATGATAAAAAAGAATCGCGATTCTGCATATAGACATAAGGTAAACATTCCAAGGGTGTCATATATGAAAGAGAGAGTGCTGAAAGATGAACTACATAAAAGACAAAAGAAGCAGAAATATCAGTAAAATGAGTAGTAGATTTCCACTTCGTAATCATCACTTCATACTAAAAAGAAAGGATCATATGCACATTAGAAATGCATCAAGTATGCTTATATTACAATATCAGACACGAATCAAACACCAATGATAGTCAATGAATATCTCATAACCACATCATGAGCACATTAAAATAATAGCACAATCAACAATATCCAAACAACTTTTTTACACTTCCCTTGTGAAACAAGTAAATTTCCTAAACTAGAATAAGAGCATGTTTGGCTAAGTTTGAAAAACGTTCACTTAAAAGAGAAGCGAATTTTTTATTTAGCTTTCGTTTGATCCTCATTATTTTCAAAATACATTTTTCTTTCTCTTCTTTTCAACACATTCTTCAATAAAATAATATTACACGCAAACTCAAAATTAACCACACATTCTCCATCAATCTACTATTCCAAAATGCATTCTTAGCCAAATAATGGCGCTTAAACAAGGGCTTATTATGTATGTATTGGTCAAAGTGATTTTGACAGAAGGTGGGGGTCTTATAGTCTAAATAAGTTTTTACCTTTAACTTAAATATTACAAAAGCAAAAATAAAATAAATCAAGTTATGTATGGTCTGGTCAAAGTTGAAAATAAGTAAATTATTTAGTCAGTGAGGTAGATCTTAATATCAATTAAGTAATTCTTTTATACTTTCCAAAAAAAAAAAAATCTTATAAAGTGATCTACTTTTAAGACCGGTCATACTCTAAGAGGCATAAGATGATAAAGACTAAAGAGCAACCCAAGTTAGTAGAAAAGGCTTCTTTCTTCAAAAGTTAACTAACAATCATCCTCAGCCACATGTAGACTCGTAATGAATTCTTGTTTTTATATACTTGACCATACAGTTGGCATTTCCACATCCTACTAGTTTCAAACAATAACCTTCTGAATTTATCCGTATTCCTAGAGGAGGTACGTGCTTCAAACATATTATAAGCATTGTATCAAAACTGAACATATATTGTGAATATGACAAAAACAATGGTCATTTAAGAATAAAACAGCAATAAGACCCTACTTTGCAAAACGAATATATTAGAACCATGAACCATCAAGTAATACAATGCATTTTCTGCATCATTGACAAGGAGAAAAGAGAATATGATACACAACAAAGGGGTAAGTACGTAGACCAACATAACTACGGAAAGACCAGATAACATACCATGTACATTTTATACATAAAACAAGTCAACAAGAGTTGGCTAGTAATTTAATAGACTGTTGAGACCACTGGAAGGGTGAACTGACCAATTGCCCTACCATGTGACAACAAATTCATATGCATGTCTCTAATAAAGGTTTAAGTACGAAAGCCAGCTGGATACCTGAGTCTGGATGTCATCTCCAGTCACAATATTACCAACAGTGCGCAGGGCAGGAATCAACACAGATGGTGAAGGATGTCTATAAACCACAAAAAACATAATTAGCCAGCTATGAAGTGCAGTTAACAAAACCGAAGTTACAAATGAATTCCACGAATAAAGATGTGAAAAGTAGAGAATGATATCAAATATGATTTTCTAACTCACAGTAAAAGCTCAACCAAACGAGGGCAAACGCCAGCCTCGATAACAGCTTGGATTTTATCATTTGTCCCATCCGATAGATATGACAGTGCCCAACATGCATCAGTAAGGACTTCTTCATCATTGGTGTGTATCAGATGAGCAAGAGCAAGGAGGGCAGGCTTTACCTGCTCAATAATTTTCAGAAGGAATTGCCTCAATATAAAATGGTCCAGCAGTATTGATATGCAACCAAAGAGAAAAGTAATAATAGAACAAACCTGCTCAAACTGAGGCTGTGGCTTCCCCCGACAAAAGTTTGACAACGTCCACGTTGCATTTCGCAACATGGATAGCTTTGCTTTGTCATTAAATTGTGCCAATAAGGGTATTAACGCTCCATAACTAAGGACAAGATCACGACATTTTGGTGAGTCGCCAGCAACATTTCCTAAAGCCCAAACTGCCTACATAAAGTAGTTGAACATGAAGACAAAAACAGCCAGAAAGTAAAATTTAAAGCTGAAGCACAGTACCATTATTTATTTATAATATCTACCTGTTCGCGAACATCATCGCTAGGGGAACTAAGAAGTCTCACAAAAATGGGAACTGCACCATGATCAATCACGACCTTGGTGTTATCAGATGTCCCAGATGCAATGTTTGTAAGAGCCCAAGCTGCCTCAAACTAGAAAAAGACATAAACCAATGCATGATCCAAAAAAAAATTAGCAGTTGAAATAATAGCAAAAATTTATACCTGAAGCTGCGGGTAATCATCTCTTGCAAGAAACTCAACAAATCGAGGAACAACTCCTGACTGTATTACTTCCTCAATTGGTGGATTTCGTTCTGTGGCAACAAATAAATTAAAACGCAAACAGAATCAGTCGAAAGAAAAAACTAACAATAAACATTAAAAAGACCCATTTCAAGATAAATAGAATCAACAAAGATAATTAATTAATTACCTATGGAAAGAAGTTTGCGAAACTGAGTTGTGGCTTCGAGTTGCAGTGTGCCATCATTTGAGCAAACGCCAGCAATCATTTCCGGAAGACTTTCTAACTGAAACATTGAAAAATGAAAATCAAATAGCACAAAACCGAAGTATTATTCCATCTAGAGCAAATGCGTATCAAATCAAACTATTCTCATCTCACATTTCTTCATGAATTAAAATGAACTGTATATCGCGATCTACAAGTATAATCAACAAAAAACATTAATCTCCCAAGACAAATTCGAAATTCAACTATGAGCTAGTACTGATTTCATGTTCAACAATCAACTATAACTGTGAAACAAAATCTCATAAAAATCCAGTAGATCAAAACTCTACTTTATGCAAGAAAGCAGAAGAATCAATCGGAGTCATGTTTTCACCTTCTTGTCCACCTGTTGAGGGATGTTGACGGTGGGCTGAAACTGCTGTGCTTGAAGGCCTTCACGGCGCTTCTTCAGCAAGCTCTCCTCCCTTCGGTTCTTCCGGATCTCAACCATGTTGTCCTCCCTCCTCCTCCGCCCCTCCTCCGCGTCCACCGCCACCTTGTACTTGCTCCGCCTCACCTCCGTCCTCGCGTTCGGCCTCAACGACATCGTTTCCGCGATTCAGAAAACCAGATAACCTCAATTAAACAGCAAATTGAATTTTTATTTATGTAAATGTATCGATATATCTTTGATAATGACGAGAGTTAAATGAGGTGACGATGATCAGGTTTCAACAACCGCCTAAATAATAAGTGGACATGGTTTACGCTTTATTTACAGTAATGACACTGAATTTGAAATGCATGGTTTGATCGATCATCCGTTTCCAGTGTTAGCGTGACTTGGCGTGGAGGCCAAGCTTCAAACTTTACGAGCCTAGGCGAAACTTAGGCGTAAAAAAGAGTTCTTTTATTTTAAATTTTTAATCATTATAAAAAAATTCAACAATTCAAATAATACATACAAAACATCTAAAATTATAAAATATTGCATTTACTTAATAATTCCTTCATAAAGTAGCTTGGAATTTAGATGCTGTCGAGGAATCATCTTCTTCCATTGGTTCCTACAAAAAAAAGATAAACAATACAAATATTTATTATTTACAAAAGCCAGACCCCAAAAGCATATGAACGTGAAAACAAATGAAAATTTAGTTACATAAACAGTTAAACACTGATTGGGCCTCACGTCAAGGGCTAAAAAGTATTCTTGATTAAATTTTCAGATTTTTCTACATGAGTTATTCCACAATCAGTTCGGAATCATTGCCATGCATCAGATTTATGAGGGCTACAAATTACAATTGACTCTCTCGAAATCTCAAACTGATATGTCATATGTATATANTAAATTCAAAACACTTCTATTCTGAGTTGTATAACTTTAATACTTGATAATAATCTTAATTGCTGTGGGTTATATTTAAAAAGAGGGAAAAATTGGGCTTCCAAGGCGAAAGCGCACTAGCCACATAGGACCCCTAGGCGTGCTTTAAGTGGTCAACATTGTCGTTGACCGCTTAATTACAGCTTAGCCTCAAAATGAGGCGTTTTCATCAAGTTTCGCGCCGTCGCCTAGGCGCCACCTAGGCGAGCATTTTAGAACAGAGTCCGTTTCGCAGCATAAAGTTTAGCGAGAGTTATGTCAACGAGCCGGAAAAAAAAAAACTCGAGCTCGGCTCGAGCTTTTTTGGGCCCGAGCCGAGTCCAGCAAAAAAAATGAGGCTCGGGTTTTTTTTTTCTTTTTTTTTTTTTTT